GTTCCCAAATGTTCCCAAATGTTCCCAAAAGGGTTCCCAAATGTTCCCAAATGTTCCCAAATGTTCCCAAAAGGGTTCCCAAATGTTCCCAAATGTTCCCAAATGTTCCCAAAAGGGTTCCCAAATGTTCCCAAAAGGGTTCCCAAATGTTCCCAAATGTTCCCAAATGTTCCCAAAAGCGTTCATCGCTGCCCCAGGCTGGCTGGGGTGGGGACCCTGGGTCCCTCCTGTGCCACACAGGATCCAGGGAAGGAGAAGCTCCTGTGGGTGAAGCATTGCTGGGAATCTTCAGGTGGCTGAGCTGAGCTAACCCTGGGGCTGAGGGTGAAATGCCCCTGCACAAACCCAGGGACAGAGCCCACATTGTTCCCCAGCTGCCAGAGAAAATATCCCAGAAAATCTCCTGTAGGCAGTGCAGCTCCGGGGCCATGAGATACATCACGGTGTCCTGGGCCTGTGGATTGACACTGTGTTGTGCTTGGCACCCCAGCAGTGTTTTTCATCCTTAGTCTGTGTTTGTTGTGTTTCTTTCTGTGGTTTTTTTTCCTGGTTCTGTCTCAGTTTGGATTTTTGCCTGGCTGTGTGAGTGGGCCGGTGACAATGCACTCACTGCTGGCTGTGCTGTCACCTTGTCCTCAGGTGCGCTCGTTTATTAAACCTGCAAAGAAATCACAAAATCACAGTTTAGCTGAGAGGTTTGGCTTCAGTAACGAGGCCACTCTGGGGATGTTGTGTTCCTGACAGGGGTTTACAGGCTGAAATCTCTGCCCAGGCAGCAGCTGCTGGCCTTGCCCCATCCAGGGCAGTGCTGATCCTCCCCTGGATTTCTGACAAGAACTTGGGGAACACCAGGGCGATTTCAAGAGAGGAGATGCCCAAACCCAGAGCTGATGAAACCCCCACAGGAGCTGCCTGGGGCATCCCTGAGCTCCTCAGGGCCGGGATCTCTGTTCTGTGGCTCTGAATTCCTGCTCACCGTGGATTCCCTGCTGCTTTGACAATTCGATGCTGCTCTGTAGCCACCAGCATCTGGCATGGCCGATATTTAGGTTGGAGGCTTAATCAGGTGTAGTGGAGAGAACAAAGGCAGCAACACAAAGCTCAAAGGGCAGCAAAGCCTCCCACAGAAACCCAGCAAAGGCAGAGGGAACACAAGGGCTCTTTCCTGCTTGGCTGATGTCCCCACCTGGACCCTTTGGGCATGTTCTCCTGTTCCAGCACAGCCCCGAGTGTTTATCCATCACCAGGAGAAATTGGGGAAACAGAGATGGGGTGGGCTGGAGCGGGAAAGGGGCTGGGATCACCTTGTGTCACACTCCCAAGTGTTTGGAAACAAACAGACTGCTCCCTGCCCCAAACGCACAGAGGGGAGGGAGCCTGCTGCTCCCAGTGTTTGTGTTTCCCTGGCCAGGGAAAGGAGCTCTGGCTTTGCCAAACAGAGCTGGGAGCTTGGAATGGGCAAACACGGCCTGGCCACGTGCAGGGGGCATCACAGGCAGCGGGGAAAGTAAAGTTCAGCTGTGTTTGGATCTGGATTTGGGTGGATCTTTCCTGAAGCTGTGCTGCACAGAGGCTGCTGGTGGGATCTGGGGGAGCAAACTGATGACAGTGTCCTGTAGGTCCTGGTGTCAAAAAGGTGCCTCAGACATGTCAGCACACCTGCTTATCTCCAATCACCCTCCCTCTGCAGGTACTGGGCAGCCCTGGTGACCTTTGGGAACAGGGTCAGAGCAGGGCTGAGCTCTGTGGACAGTAAATGGGGTGGAGGTTCCCTCACTCCCCTGCAGGGTGGTTCTGAGGGATGCACACAGCTCCAGGCACACATCCCAGTGCACTCTGGAACAGAAACAAGCTGGGATAAAGGTGCAATTCCTGTCATTTGTGGCACTCCTCAGCTGGCTGAATCCCAGCCTTGCTGGGACCAGTGCAGTTCCCAGTGCATGGAGCAGCTGCTCTGACTTTGAGGGCCCCTGTGGGTTCTGAGCACCAGGAAGCTGCTGGAGCAGCTGAGATGCTGCTGTCCCCATCCTGCTGTGTCCATCCTGCTGTGCCCATCCTGCTGTGCCCATCCTGCTGTGTCCATCCTGCTGTGTCCATCCTGCTGTGTCCATCCTGCTGTCCCTGCTGTGCTCTTCCTGCTGTGCCCATCCTGCTGTGCCCATCCTGCTGTGTCCATCCTGCTGTGTCCATCCTGCTGTGTCCATCCTGCTGTCCCCATCCTGCTGTCCCCATCCTGCTGTGTCCATCCTGCTGTCCCCATCCTGCTGTCCCCATCCTGCTGTCCCCATCCTGCTGTGCCCATCCTGCTGTCCCCATCCTGCTGTCCCCATCCTGCTGTGCCCATCCTGCTGTGTCCATCCTGCTGTCCCTGCTGGACTCTTGTGCCAGGAGCACCAATGTGTGCCCACGCTCTGGCTGGGCCAGGGAAGTGCCTTTGCTTTCTGCAAAATTCCCTTGTGCCTCATCCCATGGCTTCCCCCAGCAGAGGTGAGGGCAGGGAGGCAGAAGGGAGTCACACAAGGAATGTTTTAGTTGAGGTAGAGTAAAGCTGCCAAGCATTTCTCCTCCTAACATCGGTGCTTTTTTAAGCTCCTGAATGCTTTGTTGCCCCGTCCTGCCCTGCTGTGTTTATCTCTGCCGGTGACAGGGGCTGAGTCTCACCCTGAGCTGCAGCTCTGCTCTGCCTCATCCCTCGAGAGGATGGGATTGAGAGCAGGTGAGGATTCCTGTCCGGACAGGACCGAACAGCCCCGGCTCCGAAATCTGACTCATTCCCACAGCCCTGCTCGGGCACAGGGAGGAGGGAGCCAGGGCTGCTGAGGAGCTCTAAAGACAACAAAACTCCCAAAAAACACCTGCTGGGTGAAACTGGGGCTGGGCAGAGCTGGGAGCAGCGGGCTCAGTCCCGTTATCCCGGTGCCAGCCCAGCCCTGGGCACAGAGAGCAGCAGGATCGGGAGCCTCGAGCCACCTGCAGGGCTGGTACAGCTCAGGTGTGCAGGGAAAAGAAAAAGATTCCTTAAGGAAAAGGTGACAAGGACAGCAGAAACAGCCCTTGGTGGCCTCATGGGAAAAAATCAGCTGTAATTCCTGAACTGCAAAGTGTTTGTGAGGCATCAGAGCAGGGATCTGAGCCAAGGAGAGCTCTGGAGTCGGATCCAGGAGCATCCCAAGCCACCCTGCACAGTTTAACGTGGTTTTGGTGCAGGGTGGCAGTGCCTGGTGACAGAGCAACCATGGGGAGTTTGGGATGCCAGGTTCCTTCCAAGAAGAATTATTGTTCTATGAATGATTCACTTAAAAGTCTATACCAGGTCTTATTATAAACACATGGAGAGTGGCTTGATGAAAACAACATATTCCTTATAAAAATGTCATTAAATTGTAGCATTCATTGCTGTAATCCTGAAGGTTTCCTTTGCCTTTCCATGAAAAAATTATCAGCAGGTGATGTCATGGTTTAACTCCAGTCAGCTCTTGGTAACTTTTGAGATTTAAAGAAGCTTTTTAAACCTTTCTGCTAATAAAACCCAGCCTTGCCTTTCCTGGACATTTCTGCTTTGAGGAAAAATGAATTTTTGTCCACGGAGATGCTGTTTTGTGGTGAATGGTGTGAGCTGTGGTGGTGACACCAGGTGCAGGTGACAGGAAGGTGTGACAGGAGCAAGGCTCTGTGGACGTGGTGGGATCCAGTCAAAGGCTGGACTCGATGATCTTTTCCAACCTAAACAATTCCATGATTCCAAGCTCCCAGGGAATGCACAGGGGCACTGCTGGGCTGGCTGCTGGCAGGGTTTGCTGGAGGAGAAGGAAAGATGACCAGTGTTTGGGTAATTAAGTGTCTGACAGTTTATTAACATAAGATGGAGAGGCCTGGAGAAAGTGCCAGAAGTGAGGACAGGCAGGGCATTATTTTGGTGTGTTGCTTCTCACGTAGTCCCACGAGCCTCACCTCAGTCAGGAATTTTTTAGTGGAAGGGAGGGGGTTGCAATCTGCCTGTCTGCTTCCCTCTGAGTAAAATCATCTGCAAATGATTGGGGAAAAGTCATTTAAAAACCATGAACTGCAGCAAAGGAAAACGATGAGGTTCATGTGGGCACTGAGTGCCTGTGTCTGACTGTGGGCTGTGCTTGCCTGGAGCTCCACATCCAAGGGAAAACTCTTCCCTGATCCCTTTTCAGTGCCCAGCACCCTGGGACAGTGCAGGGTGGACCTGGAGGAAGGAGCAGCTGATGAGGTTTCGCCTCCCTGGGCAGGAGAGAGGGAGCAGCTGCCCCTGGAGAGGCTCTGGCCTGATTTTGGATGGAGGTGGTGATCCCAAAGGCTCTGGGAGTTCAGGACCAGGAGAACATCCCTCCCCCATTCCACAGAGCCTTTGGGAAGCCTTTGCTGTGTTCGTGGAAAGCTCTGGGGGAAACGCTCCTCCCTCATTCCCGTTCCCCTCAGTTTTAGATCCGTGCGCCTGATGAAGAATGACACCATGAACTTCCAGAAATTCCCCTACACCAGCGAAGATGAAGCCTGGAAAACCTACCTGGAGAACCCCCTGACTGCAGCCACCAAGGCCATGATGAGGGTGAACGGGGACGACGACAGCGTGGCCGCCCTCAGCCTCCTCTACGACTACTACATGGTGAGAGCCCCTGGCTGGGGCAAAAAAGGGGTAAAAAGGGGTAAAAAGGGGTAAAAAGGTGGAGAATTGTGTAAAACCTGGACCATCTTAGGAGGGAACCTCTCCACTGAGCTCCCCGAGTTGTTTATCCAACACCACACGGTGCCACCAGTATCCCCAGTGGTAAACTGAGGCACAAAACAGCATTTTGAGGGAATCCAGAACTTCTGGAGAGCCTGAACCCAGGTTTTGGTCTGAGTCTTATTTTGCCCCTAAAGAGCAGCAGTGCTTGGAGGGCTGCTGGGCTGGAACAGACCCCACAGGTTTTATTCTCCCAGCACTGCTGTGGATGGAGCTCTGAGAAATGAGGATTTGATTTATCCCTGACTGGGAGCAATGGGAATGATGTTTCCACTCACTTGGGTGTTTTTTAAGGACCCAGAACAAGCTGCTGTGGCTTGTCCAAGCTTATTTGGGAAGCCAGCAGCAGCCCAGCTCTGCTGTTTGTTATTAACTCTGGGGTTTTGTCTGGGAGGCTTCACTTGCTAATTCTGCTCTGTTTTCCATGAATAAAATCCAACACTGACCCAACTCTTTGCTCTGCCTTGTCCCAGGTCCCGAAGGAGAAGAGGATTCTCCCAGCTGGGATGATGGGACGCAATGACCTGGCAAAGAGGTTGGCTTCAGTTCCTGCTCTCTGGAGCTGCCTCACTCTCCTGCAGCTGCTGAAATGCAGGATGGGGCTCTGAGCTTGCAGAAAATAGACATCAAAGCACGGTGTTATTACCAGCAACAGTGCAGCTCATTAACCCTGAGACACACATTAAAATTCTTTAGGCCAGGTCCCAAGCGGGTATAAATGGAGCTACACCCATTTACACACCTGAGCACGTGGCTGGCTGTGTTCACAGGGGTTGTGCTGATTTGCAGCAGCTGAAGAAATTGCCTTTATTTCCTATTTTGTGACAATTGCAAAGGGCAGAAGGATTGAGCACTGGCAGCAAGAAGGGAATGGCCAAATCCTCGTTCACTCCCTGGGCTGATGAGAATCTCTGTTCCACTCTCCCAGGATTCTGTTCCAGCAGCTCCCATTTGTCCTTTGAGGTTTTTAGATAATTAGCTATTAAATTAATGGCTCATTTGCCATTATGAGTTCAGTTCCCCTTCCTGGATGCTGTGTACTTTGGCATTGTCAGTTTTTAACCACTTGACAGAATAAACTTCAAGTGATACTTCATTCCTTCAGAAGTAAACTGATCCTGGTTTTGGTTCTTGCTTCCTAAGAAGTAAAAACTGATCCTGGTTTTGGTTCTTGCTTCCTAAGAAGTAAAAACTGATCCTGGTTTTGGTTTTTGCTTCCTAAGTTGCTGGAGTTTGGGAGTTTGTACAATAATTGTTTTTTCCTTTAAAAAAGGGTATAAAAAATCAACTTGCAGCATCAATGAGCCATAAACAGATTTATAATGGACAGCCCACACTGCAGTTACGTTTCTTATCACCCCTGCTGCTCTGAGTGTGTGATGGCCTAAACAAAGCAACAGTGGAAGTAGGCAGTGGTTGTGCAGCCCCAAACCAAGTGCAAACCGTGTTCCCTGGCTCCCTGTGATCATCCCTTATCTGCTGAGCACCTCTGGCTCTTGCTGACTGCCCTGGGAGCTGTGGGTGGAGATCCCCCAGGAGCTGCTGGGGCTGGCTCAGGGTCAGGCACTGCCACAGTGTGCTGGGGGTGCCACTCTGAGCCAGGACCTCTCTCCAGCAGGCACTGCCACGGGATGGATTATGAGCCTGAGATCCCCTCCTTCGATGGCTCAGCCCATCTCATGAAGCTCCTGTCAGAAAACGTCTCCATGGCCCAGGAGTTCTGCGAGCCCCCCAAGAAGAACGGCCTGAGTCTCGAAGGTGTCCCTGCTCCTCACAAGGCAGCCCTGCTCCCTCCAGGCACCAGCAAGCTGGAAGCCACCCCAGAAAACTTCCTGGTGGCCCCGGGGGACGTGTACGACAGCAGCTCCCTGAACTCGCTGTTCGAGAGCCTGCCCATGGCCCCCGCGCAGCAGCGCTGGCAGCCCGACAGCACCTTCAAGGAGGACCCCCAGGAGGTCAGGGCTGGGGCTGGGGATTCATCTGCGGGCACTGGGAGCTTTGCTTTTGTGTTGGAAGCTTGGTGCCACTCCTGTTGTGTTGATTTTGGAAGCAGTGAGGCTCCGTGTTTTGCCTGGTGTGGTGTTTGGGAGAAGGTGGATGGACAAAGCAATGAGAGATTCTGTTTTTGTGTTTGTTGTCTGCAGTCGCTGCTCTTCAGTGACATCCTCAAACCCCAGCCAGAGCCAGCCTGCCCCGAGAGCTTCCCCACGGACGGAGTGAAGAGGTAACAGCAATCCAGGGGCTTGGGGATTCCAGGGAACTCTTGGCTCTGCCTCTCTCCTGCATCCCTTCCCCATCCCCAGCGCAGCCCTGGCAGTGCAAACTGCAGATCCCGTGTTTTTGCAGATTTGTGGCTCCCCGGTGGTTTTGGGTGCTGCCCCGTGAGCTTTTAGAAGCAGGGATTGATTGTTCTGTGCCCAGACTGGGGTCAGTGCAGGGCCAGCTGCTGTCACACCTCAGGGTGACAGCCCCTTCCCAGGGAGCTTGGCTGGGTGACACAGAGGGATCCAGGTGGCTGCACCATCTTCCCACAGGCCATGGAATGGGACAAATGACAGGGAAAAGGAGGCTGGCAGAGCATGAGGGTGATAATCAGCCTCCCCTAATCTAAGGCTTAAGTTCTCACTTAGCACTGTTAGTCAGCCTTGATTTTAGAGGGTGCCACTGCCTCTCATTCCTAAAACATGAGAGGGATTTCTTCCTCCTTTCCACCCCTCTGCCAGGCAGAGCTTTGCTGCTCCAGATACCAAATCAAACCTCCCAGCAGGTAACATTATTTCACCTCCCACTTTTTATTTGCCTCCTGAGTCAGCTGACTGGGTGACTCAGCTGTCAGACGTGGGGATGTTCACACAGACAGCAGCGTCTCCTGAGCCAGAGGCTCCCTGCTCACTGTTTATTTGTGCACTCAAGTTCTCTGGCTCTCCTGGCTCCAGATAAGAGGAGCTGCCAAGCCCATCTTCAGAGATGGCATCACAGGAGGTGGAGCAGGAAGAAGATGGGTTGGTGACTAAACAGGGCATTTGAAGGGTCTGAGTGAAGGCTCCTGTACAGGTGGTGGCTTGCACGGATTCCTCACAGCAGAAACCAGCTGTGGCCTCATGGTTTCAGTGCTCACAGCTGCTGGTGAAGGCACAAGAGCTTCTGAATTCAGGCTCTTCTTTCAAATTCCCTTGCCAGCCATGACACCTGTGTGCCACTGCAAAGCTTTTCTGTAAAGATTAAAGTTGGTGCCCACCACACTGAGGGTGCCACGAGCTGGGATTCTGAGTCCAGTTGTGCACAGCCAAGCAGGTGTTGATGTCCTGCAGGTCCTTTTTCTACAGGACCATTAAGGGAGAGTCTTCCTGCCTCAGCCAGTTACAGGGATGGATTTGGAGACAGGAACCTGAGTTTAGGATGTTGTAAAAGCCTCATCACAGGTACCCATTTTTGTGTGTTTTGCTGTAGGCTGCTGCTTGAGCAATGGTTCTGTTGCCATCCACACAAAAATCCTGGCTGCAGTCACATCCAGGGGTTTGAAAGCCAAAACTGAGGGGTAAAACGAGGCTGTTGGAGCAGCACTGCTCCCCAGGGTGTTGGGGAGGATCAGAATGTGCTGTGCTGTGTCAGGGTGTGTGAGGTGGGGAATGGAGCAGAAACTGGAGCCTGTAACCCGCGGGGTGGAGGCTCCTGGGGCTCTGTTTTGCTTTTGCAGTGAAACAGCAGCGTGTGCTTATTCATCCTTCTCTCTTTGTTCCATCCAAGTGACTTTGAATACACTCTGGGGTCACCCAAAGCCATTCACATCAAATCTGGGGACTCTCCCATGGCCTACCTCAACAAAGGACAGTTCTACCCCATCACACTGCGGACAGCTGGAGACAGCAAATGTTTGCACTTGTCCTCAAATAAAGTGAAGGTAAGAGTCAGAGACAGGCTGACAGCTGTGCTGACAGCTGTGCTGACAGCTCTGGAATGGCACATCCAGCAGCTCCACTGGCCTGGGAACAGAGCTGAACACGAGCAGTAATGGCTTTGTGGCTCATGTTGGCTTAAAGGGATGAATGGGATGGATTCAGCCCCACAGGATAATCCTGTGCTGCACTGCAGAGCCTCCGTGGGCTGCACAAAGGGCCAGTGGGGCCCTGCTGGGAAGAGCTCTGAGCCAGGTTCAGGGTCCCCATCCCGCTCCTGGGATGTGTGGCCAGCAAACCCCGAGATGAATGTGCCAAATGGCTGAGCCCAAGCCCCTTCCCTTGCCCTCCTCAGCTGCCCCAGTGTAAAATTTCATGTTTCACGTGGGCCTGAGGGCAGTGCAGGGTGGGAGGGCCAGGAGGGCACTGACCCTGCTCTGTGCTGAGCTGGGCTGTGTTGCAGAGCGTGGTGATGATCGTGTTTGACAATGAGAAGATCCCCACGGAGCAGCTGAAGTTCTGGAAGCACTGGCACTCCCGGCAGCCCACGGCCAAGCAGAGGGTCATCGACGTGGGTACGAGGGGCTGCCACTCCTGGGGGCTTCCCTTGCTCTGGGAGTCAGCCAGGGCCAGGGTTTGGGGGTGGGAGACCTCGGCAATGTCACCAGTTTCAGCCCCAGTATGAACTGCTCCTGCCCTGCCTTCCAGCTGACTGCAAGGAGAACTTCAACACGGTGCAGAACATCGAGGAGCTGGCCTACAACGCCCTGTCCTTCGTGTGGAACATCCACGAGGAAGCCAAGGTACAAACTGCCCGTGGAGGGGAGCTGGGAATGGTCCTCAGCAAAAGTGCAGCTCCCTCCTGACAGCCCAGGCTGTGCCCCAGGGCTCAGCTGAGGGACAGAGCCTCAGTGCCAGGCCCCAGGCAGTGTTTGCCTGCCAGGACAGCAGCAGGACACCGTGCCTTGGTGTGTGTTTAAGCACTGCCATGAGCTAATAAACACTCTGGGTACACCCAGACTGGCTCAGGGATGTTTTCTTAGTGCTGATGGATAACTCTGAAGAAGGGGTTTTGCAGCAATTCAGGGCTCTGCTCACGTGGACCTGCAGCCTGTTGAAATAACCCCCAGCTCAGGGAACAAAGAGCCCCTTCCAGGCTGGGAGATGCAGACAGGACTGACCCTGCTGTGCCTTGTGGGATGTGGAAAGGAGCCAGGCAGGTCACAAGATCCCTTTTCACCTTAAAACCAGGAGAAAGTTTATTACAGCAAAGTCTTTGCAGCTCTGCTGTCTCCTCTGCATCTCCTCAGTCTCTCATTAACACTTTGTATCTAGTGGGGATTGAAAAACAGATGAAGTAACTAAGAAAAAAAGAGAAAAGCATAAATACCCCAAGTCTCTGAAGCTTGGGAAAACCCTGCCTGCCTCTGGGATCTCAATAAGCCCAAAGGCAAGCTGGGTCTTTTACAACCCAAGAGGTTAACAAATGTCTTCAAGGCAGAGCTGTCAGAAATGGAAATATGTCAGGTATGTGGCAAGCCCTGGGGGCACCTCAGCAAAACTGGATTTAACTCTTAGCAGAAACTCTGCTCATGCACTGGCCTGGGGCAGGTAGAGGTGAGACTTCAGAGGGCTGGGAGTGAGGCAGGAGGGGTCAGGGGCTGGGAGCAGGACTCAGGTATTTGGGTGTTTGGGTTGTCCATGGCACCTGTTACTTCTCTCCTTCCAATCAACCTTCACCCCACAGCAAAGAGGTTTTCTTTCCTAGGAGCTGACATCAGGTTTCAGGGCTGAAATCCTCAGCTGAGAGAGCTCTGGGAGCTTCTCCAGCTGCAGATCTGTCCCCAGGGTCCAGGGGAATTCCAAGGTCACGCCAGTGAATTGGCAGTTTGGAGATACAATTTGGATTGGAGCTGTGCTCAGCTTTTCTTCCAGAGTTCCCACTGGAGTTAACTCCTCCTGGTGATAAAAGAGCTCAGTGTGGGATGAATATTTATTTAAGCAGCACTGCTGTGCAATTCCTGAGGCTGCAGCCTTGTCCTCCTCCCTTCCTGCAGGGCTTTGCTGTCTGAGGGTCCCTTTCAAATGAAAGATGAGAAATCTCAGCAAGAACATCCCCAGGCAGGATTTTGGGAGTGGAGAGGCTGAGCTGAAGAGCTGGAATAGGTGTGGGGGGAGAGGCTCAGGTGGGAAACCAACTGCTCCCACTGCTGGCTGAGGCTCCAGCACCAAGGATCCCTGTCCCTGCTTGCAGGTGTTTATTGGGGTGAACTGCCTGAGCACGGACTTCTCCTCGCAGAAGGGGGTGAAGGGTGTCCCCCTGAACCTGCAGATCGACACCTACGACTGTGGCAGTGGCAGCAGCCAGCTGGTGCACAGGGCTGTCTGCCAGATCAAGATCTTCTGTGACAAGGTACAGCTCTCCTTTCCCACCATTTCAAGCTGCTCAGAGGCCCCAGGAATAAACCAGAAAGGTTCTGAGAGCCTAGAGCAGCCCAGACCTGTGACTGTGTCTCACCATAAACTCCATTTTTGACTCTGTATTTTGTTAAATATCAAAAGAGATGAGAGTTTCCTTGGAGGTTCTTCCCCAATCTCAGATATCTTCCCATGGAAAAAATTCTCACAGCTATTCTTGTCTGCGTGTTTCATTTTTAAAAGCAAACTTTGTTTTTTTTGCTTTTCTAATTCCTGAGTGTCAGAGAGTCCTGGCTTGGGCTGTGGAGGGACCATTTCTGAGCTGAGGCTGCTTCACCTTAATGTGTCACACCCTGAGCTGGTCACAGAGCCCTTGCCAATGCTGGAAATGTCAATGTCCTAAATTCTGCTGGATCTTCCCGCAGGGAGCAGAGAGGAAAATGAGGGATGATGAAAGGAAACAGTTCCGAAGGAAAGGAAAATGCCTGGACTCCAACAACAATGGTCAGTGCCTGCGTGTGTTCCCTGCCCTGAGCTGAAATCCCTGCTCCCTTCCAGGGATCTGCCTCTTCCAGACCTGCACTCAGACCCTGCTGGGCTCCTTCCCAGCCTCCCAAAGCCCTTTCTGAGCGCCCACCAAGCTTTGGGAACGGTTCTGGGCTCCCTTGGGCCGCCCTGGAGCTGCTGCAGGCTCCTGGGCTGTTCCCAGCGTTTCTGCTGGGAGCCCTGGGAAGGAGCTCCCCTGGCCCAGATCTGAGGGAGCCGAGATGAACTGGACTCTCCATCTGTAGGTCTGAAAGGCTGTTTGCTCTCTGGCTTCAGAGGGAATGAGATCACGTTCCTGCGGCCCGAGAGCGACCTGGAGACGCAGCCGGTGCTGTTCATCCCCAACGTGCACTTCTCCACCCCGCAGAGGTGTGGCTCGGTGAGTCCTCAGCCCCTCCAGTGATGGGTGATGGGCCAGGAAAGCTCTCCAGGCTCCTTCCAGCCAGATATTCCTGTGCTTTACACACCTGCAGCTTCCACACAGGACTGCAGCGGTAGCAAAAAATAACAGTAGAAAATAAATTGTAGCAAAATGTGACCATCTCAGTCCCTGTGTGGGTGGGACATCCCCTGACTCTCTGCTGTCCAGTGTCCTTCAGAGCTCCTCAGCGTTCCCTGCCTCAGAAACCACTGCCTCAGTTTGTCAAAAACGGGGCATCTGGGGAGGTTTTTATATCAAATTTATATCAAATCTGAGAAACTGATGTTTGGGTTGAATTGTTTGGGAAAACTGATGGGTCAGGAGGAGGGAAATGATGTTTAAAGTGTGCCCAAGTTGCCTCCCCCAGCCTCTCAAGCATGTACAAACTCTCAGATCCATTTCCTTTGCATTCCAGGTGCTCCCTCCTGCTGTTCCCAACTCTGCAAACAGGTGAGGATGCAGCAGTGTGCAGTTCCCACCCTCTGGGAATGTCAGGGCTGCTGGATACCCCCAGGGGCAGGATAACACAGCTCTGCGTCTCCCTGACGCCCTGAGAGTCAGAACATGAGTTAAACCTTGTCCTGGGAGGGACCATGGACACGTTTCTGTCCCTGTCGGAGTCACTCCAACACGAGCTGCTCCCTGTTGCTCTCATGGAGACGATGTTTGAAAGGGAGAATAAAGGATCACAACTGTCACTGAAGGGTTCAAATACCCAGGGGCTGGAAAATAAACTGGAATGAAGTGGCCCCAGCCTGGGCCCTCCCTCTGTGTGGGGATACCAGTGGGGAAGCAGTGCCAGGAGGGTGCAGAAGGCTTTTGGTGACCCCAAACCCGCTGCGGGCCCTCCTGAGCTGCCCGTGGGCTTTAGGCAGGAAGTTACAACTCTGCTGCTGTAATTACAACCCAGTGCTTAATTGCTGGATGGTTGTTAACTGGCTGTTCAGTCGGAAGTTCAGCAGCTGGAGTTGTTCTGTTTGCTTTCACTGTTCTGCCTTGCTGAGAGTGTTGTGTCCCCCCGGCCCAGGCTGCCCCTGAAGCGCAGCGGTGCCTCCTTCACCGACGACTTCGAGCCGATCCCTCCGAAGCACAGCAAGGATGAAGATCCCCAGAGAGGTAACCCTGGGATCCTGAATTCCCCGAGGCCCCCCGGCTCTGGGAGCGCTGGGAACGGCCCTGAGCACGCTGCCCTGCTCTCTTGCAGTGCTGCTCTACGTGCGCAGGGAGGCCGAGGAGGTGTTTGATGCTCTCATGTTGAAGACCCCGGATCTGCAGGGCCTCAGGACAGCTGTGAGTGTCCCCAGAGCCCCTGGGGGATGGACAAACTGCAGATGGGAGGGAATGGGGTGGTGAGAGGGAGCTGGATGTGGGCTGCTCATCTCTCCTGCCTGCTCTCCCTCGGGAATGAAGTGGGAGCAGGAGCTGAGCTCTCCCAGGAGCTGCTGGCGTGGCTGTGTTGTGCTGCAGAGGGAGGATCACACCTCCTGCCCCATCCAGATCCTGCTGCAAGCCTCCTCTTATGACAGCACATTCATACTTTCCACTGTCAAACACCTTTTCCATTCTCCAGGCTGGAGATGTGTGATCCACAGCCCTCCCTGGCCTCGTGCTGGAATTCCCTGGCCGTGTTTGAGGAGCACAGGGACATATTTCTGTCATGGTTTATCAGCAGCATCTCTGATAACCCAGCCTCTCTGGAGACTGCTGGGAAGGAAACAAACAATAAACCTCCCAGATTTGGGGTGGCTTTATGGCTGCTCTTTAAGCTCTGTTGGTTTTACAAACTTTTAAAAATACTGTGTTTGAAAAATGTCAGCCCAGAGGATTCTTTGCCATCTTCTCCTTCCCTCATCCCTCACCACAGAGAGTCAAAAACCATTTCATGGAAAATGCTTGGCAAAAACCTACAAAACTCCTGGCACCCTGAGACCAAAACTGAACTTGCCCAGGAGAATGTTCAGGTCATGGTTTTGTTCTCTGGAGTAAAACTGAATCCTTTGCTGCTGAACACATGGGCTGGGTGTTATCTTTGATTTTTATCATGGGAATTTCACTTTACAAGTACAAAGAATTGCCATGTTTTCTCTCACAGATTTCAGAAAAATATGGGCTTCCTGAAGAAAGCATTTATAAAGTCTACAAAAAGTGCAAAAGAGGGTGAGCTAATCTCTCATCTGCTTTTATGCTGTGCCTCCAAACCTGTCCTCTCCAGCCCCTGCCATTGGCTCCAAGAGCATTTTAACAAGATAATAAAAGGTAGAGCCATGTCAGGCTCTGCTATTTGGAGCATATAAAACTCAGATCTTTCTGGCCTTTAAAGATTTGGGATAATGCTTGTTTGTATTATATTTGTTAGGAGGGTAAAGTCTCCCAAGGAATGGAAGCTGGGTGAAGGTGGAATTGTTTGGGGAGTTTAATGGTGATCCTTTGTGTCCCAGGCTAAAAGCTTGGGGTTATGGAGAACTTATCAGAGAGGGATCAGTGTTTGCTTGTCCAAAAAGTGCTGGAATGTTCCTGGCTCAGGATGAGGGATGGGACACGGGGAGCATCTGAATTTGTCAGGAGTTCTTCCACCTGTTGCTGCTGCCCCAGAAATGGGAATATTCTCCCCAAAGGAAAAGACCAGCACTGGTGGCTTCAGGGGAGAGGCCACCTCACTCACTCTGACTTTGGTTTTGTTCATGCCCTGATCTGATAAGCAGCAAGTGTTGTTTGGTGATGACTGGGAGGGAAACCAGGCAGGAGGAGCAGAGAGGTATCTCATGAAAAGGGAAGGCCACACCTGGAAATTAGATTAAATAAATAATTTTGACACCTGGTTTAATGAAGGCTGGATGTGACCCATGCCAGCAGCTACTTCTGAAGTGTGGGGAGATTGGAGATATCTCCACTCTGCCTGGTGGCAGGGTCAGGCCCAGCTTCCTGCTCCCCCAGATTTAATTTTCAATAATTTTATCCTATTGCTCCACCCTAAACAATCTTGTCCTGGTAATTACAGCTTGAGGGGCAGATCTCCATCTGCTGAGAGCCCGTGGGGTTCAGTGGGGCTGCCTGGCCTGGCAGCAGGGCAGGACCTGCCCCAGCCATGGCCCTTCCACAGGGATGAGCTCAGCAGGTGGACTCGGTCCCAGAGTGACTCAGGAGCAATAATGAACAGTTTTGGATCTTGGTGAGGTTTGGTCTAGAGAAACAATCCAGGCTCAGATTCCTGATCAACATCCCTGGGATGGTTTGTGGTTTAGAAGTCAGATGGGAGCACGGCACAAGAGGCACAGGTGACTTCTCTGGCTCCCTGCTCTGAGACAGCCACAGATAAAGGGATCAGCTCTGCTGGTGAAGTTTTGGGTACCCCAGAGTCTCTGTGGGGCAGCTGTTGGGGGCCAGGGCTGGGCTCCAGGGCTGGGGCTGGTGCTGGGATGCAGAAGATTCCGGATCACCGGGCAGACCCTGGGCAGTGCCAGACCCTGAGTCCCAGCACCTCCCTGGAATTCCTGACTCTGCCATGACAGAGTTCCCAGGCTTTGGTGACTGTTCTGTGCTGGACCTTCCCTTGTGTTGTGCCACGGCTTTAATGAATTAATTGATTAACAGTGGTTGAGCCCCTCAGACTGGGGAAGGCGAGCTGCTCTCAATGTGCTGTATCTGATCCAGCCATTCTTTTTCTCTGTAGGATCCTGGTGAACATGGACAACAACATCATCCAGCACTACAGCAACCACATGGCCTTTCTGCTGGACATGGTAGAGGCAGAGAACAAGTTCCAGATCATCCTCAAGGAGCTCTAAAGAGCTGCAGGCAGCACTTCCTGGGACTTCTCTCCGAGCTGGCACGTGTGACCCCACAGAACTCAGCCCTGTGCCCTCTCTTGTTGCCTTGACTTGAACCCCCTGGCCCTGGGGCCGGGCCACAGACTGCTGTGAGATCATCCTGTGAACGTGGAACTTGGCTCTGTTGAGTTGTTATTATTAATATTATTATTATTATTTTTTATTATATTGTATTCCCTTCTGGCACCGGGCCTGAGCTGCTGTTTCAGAGCTGGGCACACGAAGCGACGCTGCCAGGCCTGGGCAGAGAGCAGAGCTGGTGGCCCTGGCAGTGACTGATGCCAGCCCAGGCCTCTCCACAGACCCTCCAGAGCTTTCCCAGCAGGGCTGAGCTCAGCTCTGAGCTCCTCTCTGGCACAGAGACTCTCCCAGACACAGCCACAGCTCCTGCTGAATGGACTCTGCCACATCTCTGACTGTAAATACCACGGAGGCCTCCACAACCCTTGTTTATACATTTCTGTGTTGTTCCTTTTGTATTTTATATGTATAAATATGCATTGTTTTATACTGGACTCAGTATGGTGACACAGAGCATTTCAAACACAGGCTGCTTCACGTTTCTCTGTGAACTCCTTTTGTAACTGTGTTGTTTTGGATATACCGTAGTAATAAAGGCTCGAGGACTGAAAATGAACATTTCCCCAGCTCTGGAGTCAGAGTTGGGTTAGGCTGGCCAGGAGCCAGGGCAGGGAGGTGACCCCAGAGGCACCAGAAGGGCTCGAGGATGGTTTTGGCCAAGGTCTGTCCCCTCTGCAGTCCCCAGGTGTGACAGCACTGCAGGGAGGTTCTAGGCACTGCCCTGGGGGGAGGGATTTTGTCACACACGTTTGGGGACATTTTAAGCAAGTGAAAAGGAAATTCCCAGTTTGAATTCTGCTCACAGGAGAGCAGCTCTGCCTCTCCCTGTGTCCCAGGCCAGCCGTGTCCAACGTGGAATATTCAAACTCCTTCACCCTGTGCTCAAACTGCCTGAAGCCGTTTCCCATTTAGGCCATCAAATGCCAAGGGGAGCCCTGTATTTTCTAATTAATCCTCTGACCAGTGAAAGACCTCTGGCCTTTCCTCCTCCGTCTTCTTCATCCTCTGCTTTTCCTGGCCATGTCAAAGAGGCCTGTGAGTGGGGAGGAAAGAGCCCTGGGAAGAGGATTTGGAAATGTTGGAATGTGTCAGCTTGGTGAGTTTTGGATTACTTCAGTGCTGTTTGAGGATGGCCTCTAAGATGAGGTGCAGATAAGCTGAAGGTTTATCAGCCTTTGGGATCTCTCCAGCACTCCTTCCCTTCACATCACAAACTCCTTCTTCAGCAGGCTGGCTCTGATTCAGTGTTGATTCTGAGTCCTCCTACAGCAGAATTTCAGCTCCAGTTCAAACCAGTCCCAGCAGGAATCCCCCGGTGCTGAAAGCTGCAGGTCCCCGTCCCCTGCTGTGCCAGGGGGTGTCAGGGCCCTGCTCTGGGTCTGGCTCCAGGGCTCAGCCCAGCCACGGTGACCTGTCCTGCCTGGCCATGGGGACAAGCAGAAGCTGCTCAGGTAGGGACAGAGGTGTCCCCCTGCCCTGGGGGAGCCTGGCAGTGGGGACAGATGGGGAGGGCTTTGTGTGCACACAGACTTGGGGGTTTGGGGGCCTCTCACCCCACAATGAGTTGTTCTGGAAGTCTGATCTCGGGGTGAACTTCCAGCCAGATAAACATTTACCCATCTGAGCTCAGCTCCTCCAGCCTGACCCCAGACTCCAGCAGCACTACTCCTGATTTACAACAGCAAAAGCCATCGCAGTTGTAACTTCATGCTCCCAGCGGAACAAAGATGAATTCTGCTGGATTTTACGGGGTTCCCTTTCCCACAAACCCTCCCTGGCTGCAGCTCCCTGAGGCTGCACTGTGAGAACAGCTCCCCTGGCTGGGGCTGGGATGGAGGGAGGGAACCGGGAGGTTTTTCCGTGCAGCTCTGGGTATTCCTGCCTGTGCCGGGGCTGAGTGCCGGTGCCTGCTGCACAGGGAAGCGCTGCCGGGGCAGAGTCCCCAGCCCTGCCCCGCGAGGTGGGTGTTTTGCTGACTGCCTCAGTATCGCTCATCCCTTCCAGCCAAGGCGAGTTGCTGGGAGGTTGCGTAAAGCAGAGCTCCCAAATATGTGAGAGCATTCCTGACTCCTTGCCCGGAGCCCACCAGTTCCTTTTGAAGGTTGAGATAGGAGCACCAAGGCGATTTTCACCCCGAGCACCAAAGGTCGTGTGAAAGCACCGAGGGTTTGCCAAGGGCTCCCCTGGGACCCTGCTTTGTGCTCACCTGAGCCAGCAGGATCTGTCCCCTGCCCTTCTCCCTTATTCCCAGCCTGGTCAGGACTGACTCCCCTCCAGGGTGAATCTCCAGCCTCCATCTGGGAGCTCTCAGATGAAAACACAAAGGAGCCCATTGGTTGTTTTAATTACTCAACATCTACAAAACTGGAAGCTTTCAAACCAATTTTAATTAATGATCCTCTTCCAATTCTTAGAACCGAGCACCACTAATTAGTTGCCCGTGAGCCAGCCTGGCAGGCCAGCACAGGCTCATGGCGTGCGGAGTCTGAGGGAAATCCTGACGCAGGAATCCCACTCTGGCATCCCAGCTCTGCTGCTCACAGACCTCGAGCTGCTTCCTCCTCCAGCTGGGGAGGAAGGAAAACTTCCCCAGTGCTCCTGGTGGAAAAGTGCCCACAGGGACAGAGATGCATAAAAAGGAGCAGCAGGCTGAGAGCCGAGTTGTGCAAGAGCTCTGGTATCCCCAGCGCTGGGCGGAGGGCTCTGCTCCTCACTTCTACAAACAACACCCAGTTTCTGTGTCTTTATTCGTGCTTATTCACTCCTTGCATCATCAGGCAGGCAGCTGAGGAGCTCGGTGTGTGGTGTGGCTCTGCAGGGCTGTGAAGGGAAAAACAGCATCCTGTGTTTTGTTAGGACACCCACACGCCGTGTCCGGAGGTGCCCTGGTGCTGTGCCGGGCATGGGATGAGAGGATTAAAGTCAGGGAAATCAAACCCTGCATCTGTTTGTAAGTGTGCAAAGCTTTAATAAACCTGCTGAGGGTTCCCTCTGCTCTCACTCATTTCCCCAGGTAGTGCCTTGGATTTATAGAATTAAATTTTGGGTGAGCTGGGCACTAGAACCCCCAGATTTGTGGGAATGTCCTGGAATCATCAGCTGGAAAGTGGCCACAGAGTCGGAGCTCAGTGCTCCCAGACAGGGTGCACACACTTGGGATTTACCTCAGTGACTTGAGGGTTGTCTTGGCTGCACCTTTTACTGGGAGTCCTGGGAACGCTGAGCCCCAGCTCTGAGGCAGCCCAGGCATGAACTGCTGAATAACCAGCCTTTGGTAAAGCTGCTGCTCTGAACCGTGATTTTACCTCCCTTTGGGGCACAGCCCAGAGCAGCTCTGTGTGTTCATGCACTGCTGTGGCATTTCAGGCTTTTTGATCCAGTCCATAAAAGATTGGTGAAAATGAAAGGGGGATTTCTCCACAACTTGCAGAAGGTATTTCTTTCCATCCTCTTCCTCTTTAGTTCATTTGTAGCCACTGTGGGCCTGCTGTCCAGCCTGACCGCCCTGGCCTGGCTGTGCTCTCCAAGTGAGCCAGGCAGGATTTGTTGGCAGCTGAGCCGGGAGCTGCCAGCCTGGGACAGGAGCTGGAAGTGGCTCCAGAAAAGCCCTTTTCTCCCTTTGTGCTGCCACAGGGGCTCAGGACAGAAAAATGTCACCAGGGTGCCCCCTCAGTGTCTGTGGCTGGGACAAAATCTGCAGCTGGGTGAGTTCAAACGCTGGGAATCCCAGCAGGAACTGCTCCTGTCTGTTCTCCCAGCCCTTCATAACCTCACAGAAGGACCTGGGGATCTTAGAAGGAATAAAAAGGGAAAGAAATTAGTGTGATTAACTGAAAAAATCGTTATTAGTTGTGCCTGGCAACAACGAGCCAACGGGCACTGAGGGATCCCGCAGGATCCCACAGCTGGATGAGCCCGGGATGAGCTCAGCATCCAGGCAGGGAAGAACCAGAGACGGGGCTGTGTCTACATCTGCTTCTGTCTCAGCATCCAGCTGTGCAGCTGCTGCTGCTCTGCCTGTCCCTGGCAGCCAGGGGTTGTGTTTAACCCATTCCTCTCCCAGGTGGGCCCCTCCTCCTGCTTCCCCAGGCATTTCCTGATTCCAAGCCTCAAGATGTGTTTCTTCTCCCATTTCACTCAGCTTTAGGTGAGGAAGGCTCTGGTGAAGCCAGAGCAAAGGGGTGCTGGGGGTTCTGATGCTGCTCTGTACCCCCAACCCTGTCCCCTGCAAGTGCTCCCCTCTTCCCATCAAAGAGAGGAATTCTGCAGCTGGAATGTGTTGTACCAACAGTCAGAGTGATGTGAGTTTTACACACACACACAACTCACAGAACCTGTTTGTCCAAAGCCCTGACAGTCAGTGATGCTTTAATGGCCTTTACACTGCAAACATGCTTTTATTTTTTCAACCTTACCTTTAAAAATAATATTGTAAAATATGAACCAGCCAAGCTGGACAAGGAGCTGGTAGTGAGGACTCCAGAGCTGCTGTGTGGCCCTCAGGGTGATGCTTAATCCTCCTAAGCCAAAATCTTTGGGAAATAAAAAGCTTTTTATGGCCAGCCCGTGGTGTTTATTGTAAAATACATGGATTTGCCACGGCCCAGCCTTGCAGGGACCTGGCTGCTCCCCTCTCCAGACAGCGTTGGAGCAGGGCAGTGATGCCAAAGGACTCCAGCTGGGAGTTCCTGCTGCTCTCCCACTGCCTGGAACAGCAGAGGGAGCAGGCTCTAACCCCAGCAGCTGGGTGTGGAGTGTTTGTGTGTTTTCTGATAACACGGGCTGGGGATCTTCCCTCCTCTTATTTAATTTGCCCTTTCCTCCAGCCCTCTGTCCTTATCAAATCCCTCCTGGCATTGCTTCCCTCCCAGCTTCCT